AGTTTTTTTTATATTCCTTAGTATTAGTATTCGTTTTCTTTGATGTATTTGTTTTTATTATATCTACTTTTTTCGTTCTCTATTATTTCTCTTTTTTTTTCTTTTTTCCTTCTCTACGAGAAAGTGTCATTAGTTTGGCAGCATTCTATTATAGAGCGGGAATCTTGACGGGGTGAGCAACAGCCAGCCAAAGAATCTGGGCGAAATAAGTTCAGAATAAGTTCTGGATCTCTGGAGGAGGCCAAGTGTTGCTAAGCAGGTCACATCTGGGCAAAACACAGCGGTTTAATAGTTCACCTGATTGCAAGTGGATGTTTCAGCATCTGTGAGGTACGCCAAGAGTGAGTTTACTCTTTGGTTAGAACACTTATAAATTTTAGATTTCTTTGTATACCAATATAGGAATAAAAGTTTGTTTCCATAATAAAGTAAACAGGATTGCTGAAGAAAAAAAATAATAATCTTCTAGTACTAGCTAGTGTTGTGATCAATTACAATTCACAAAGTCTTTATTTGTTTCTATTTAAACAGAACACTCACTTGGTGCTGATATATCATATCAAGCACTGCCACCTCCTCAATTTGACACTACAGTGACTACTTAGTTTATCTTTTAGAATGTTTTTTCCTAAAACCAAACTTTTGTCAACTTTATTATTATTAGAGATTAAGATCTTAAATATAAAGATTATCTCTAAATATGTATTTATCTAAATTACATATATTATGTTCTATATACAATTAGACTTTAAATTAAAATCATGCATTATACAAATTCTAATCACATTATTTATATATCTGATCCTAATCAAACTCAGCATTACTAAATCCCAGAATACTGAATTAACTCATGACACTGGTATAATTATATTACAGATGCAAACACAATAGGATACAGTTTACTGATGCATTCCATAAATTTGAATTTCATTACTAGTGAGATTCAAACTCTCGATCTGCTGCTTGGGGTGTGATAATTTACCAACTACACTAAGTTATCACACCCTTAATTTTTTAAAACTTATATTATACAAATTGAATAAAACTATATATAAAATACAAATATTTTAATATAATTTTGTAAAAGGAGTATTAAGACTTCTTTTTATCAAGTTTGGTATTAATTTATTATGCAATTAAGGTTGAATAATCATTTAAATCTTTTAAAATGTGTTTGCAGTCTCATTTCAAATATAATTTACTAAATACTGTTATATATCAAAATGAACATAATGCATCTTATTACTACATAGAGTTAATTGCCATATATTATAATGTATATAATAAAAAATTTATTATATATTATTTTTTTTATGATAAAAAAAAATTTGCAATATTGTAAATTTATATAGGACTAGATGTATGTTTGATTTTATTAGATGATCGACCACTCCAATGTAACATCGATGACACAATAATGTGGCACAGTAAACGAGCTAACTTTGTTTTGTTTTCAAATTACATGCTCAACATTACTATCAAATAAATTTAAAATATACCTTACAGAAAAAGATTTAATTCATCCTATTTTCAATTTATCAATGTTATTAAAAAGCTTATAGAAAATGAAGGATATTTATTAATTTTTTAACACTAATTATTGTGGCGAATCATAGTGAAATCCAGATCAAAATGAAATTATAATATAAAATCTCAAAAAATATAATTTTTTGGAATGCATTTTTTAGGGTTAGGGTTAGGGGTTAATTTTAAAGTTATAATAAACAAGTATAAGTGGGTTTTAGAAGATTAACAGGTTGATGAATAGAAAATGTAGATTTCATTTTAAATTATGATCTGTAACAATTATTACTACAAATATATAATAGATGAATTGCAGTTATTACTGTAAATAAAAAAAACTATACAACAATCTATCTCTAAACTAATAATTTTATTAATAATTAATTAATCTATATACCACCCTCAGATGAATTACTATTTTTTAAAAACATAGCAACATTTCTCCAGTACATCATAATTTTCATTTGTTGCTGCATCGATCATCTCCATCCAAAATGGTCTATCTAGTTTTATATCTACCTTATTATCCCAGTATTCTCTAATTACTTTTGCTTTCAATATTAAGTTCCCATCAGGAATAGTTGGCATTTTTGATGGATTACGTAAAATATAAATTGTACATATAAAAGAATATAAGTCATCAAATGCTTTGGGAATATAAGAACCAAAATTGTTGTTTAAAATATTTGGCGAAGAAAATAAAATTGTTCCTGCATATTCTACTATACCATTATTATTAGAGTATCTGATTGCTAATCTCCAGTCAGCAAAAACAAGCTCATTGTTATTAATATCTAATAAAATATTGTCAGGGCGTACATCTCAGTGATAAATTCCATAATTATGAATACATTTTAGAAGGCAGAGGAGCTGTTGAGCATGAGATACTTGAAATTGATTACCAATTTGTTTACAGATTAGGCGAATAATTATTGAATTGTTATCATGCGCAACATAAGTTAGAACATTTTAGATATGATGCCCATTCAAAAATTTTAATGCACCCATCTCATTATTCAGAGTATGACCAGTTTTAAGAATTTTTATAGCAGATGAAATATTTTCAAAGTCGATCTTATATACTGTTGAAGATGCACCTTTTTCCAGATACTCCTTTAAATGTATTCTTATGTCTTCTGATTGCGTCCTGAAGTCAATACTCCTAGGTCCAACCAGACTTGTAAAAGGTAACTTATCATTGATCAATATCCAAAAAAGGCATATTCCAATCACGATATTGGTTGTAAACTCACTATATTGTTTAGTATCTCTATTATAATCCATTACATAAAAATTAAACCCATCTGATAGAAATATCGCAAAATATACACGCAATAGTTGCTGTTGAATAAGAACTTGAATATAATTTAACAGTTGGCCCTTATATTCATTAGTCAAACCAGAGCTAGGACTCTTTCTTTTTTTCACTTCCAGAAGTGTACATACAAACATCAGAATATATACTTTATTTACTGCATCCTCATTAAGAAGGATACTGAAGTCTGGCTTATATCCTTCAAGATATGTATTAGTGTGTGTGTCTACCACAGAGAGGTGACTTGAAAAGGCTAGGAGAGCCTTAATCAGTTTATCAAACCAATCTTAAACTTCTTCTGATACAGTTGGCACAGGATAATCTCTTATGTAGTTTTCTATATTTCTATATCTACTAATTTTACTAAATTGATCAAGTCGAGAATGGCTTTTACTGAGGAAGTATTCCTGATCAACGATTCTAAAGGAGATGTTCTGGTATGCTCTTGCACGTGTCATAGAGCCTAAAGTGTGCAAAATATGGGATTATCTATTATCATAAATAGAAATAACAAAGGTTTGTATTAGAGAAATCAGTACCTGTCTCATAGCTTTGGTCAGGAATAAGTCGATTCATTACTTCCATGGTTCTTTTCATTACTTTTGAGTTTGCGATTACAACATTCTCAAGATTCGTTAACAAAGTAGCAAGTGATGAGCTACCTGATACGTCCTAGAAAAATTCCTGTAAATATAGTGCGCTGAAATTATAGTACTTTATATTAACAAACATACTATTCGACCAAAATGATTTGTAAGATTTTCCACAGAAGCTAAAAACGAAATAGCAAAGAATGTAGAAGTCGCATTTGCTCATATTGACCAAATTATTATGACTCACTTACCAGCAACAGGTTGCTCTACGATAATGTGAATGGAAAGAAAAACACAAGTATTCAGTATTATTAGCAAATATGACACGGTGTGGGCAAGAATGTAACATACCAGGCGTGGATATTAAAGACTTTAAGTAATCTCGCTTTTCATTATCTGTCGCGTAGTCAGGAAGAAAAGACACGACAACATTTATTTTTTCTACATTTTCAGTGAAGTATTTGCGTAAACTGTTTTGTTCATTTGGAGTGAAACCAAGACGATTAATTTCTGTTTTAAGAATCGTTAGTGCATTCATTTTGGTATTACAAATTGCTTAATCTGAGAATGAAAAATTTGAACCCACCGGGCTATCAAGAATTGTTTGGGTCACATGAAAACAACAAAACATTTTTAAAATTCATTGAAGATAAGTAAAATTTTTATATAAGTTCTTAAGATAAATGATGTTTTGTCAAAACGAATGTTTGTTTTGGACTAGTGTTGTAGACCGTTCTCAAGCGCCTACCTCAATGAGTTAACTGAACGATTTGATTGGCTGAAAAAATTGATCGTGGTTAGGAGACGGAATGGGCCGGGTTAAACCTGAAAATTTGCGGGCCGGGCCGGGTTTCGGCCCAGTTCGGGCTTACATTTTTGAGCCCATTATTATTTGGGCTGGGCTTGGGTCAGGTTCGTTAAAATATCGGACCAGGTTTGGGCCTTATAAAAAAAGCTTATACAGGCCCGTTAATACCTGATAACATAGTAACAAAATTTTTCGGTCAATTTGTGATATGACATGATTGATATGCATACTAATATATAGTATATAATACTTGTTCTACAGATAATTTTAGGAGAATTTACACATAAAGGCCCAAAAATGAAAATAATTATGAATAAGAGCTCAAAATAAAAATTCTATATTATTATAAATAAGGGCCTGTCTGACCTCTGAACTGTACTCGGCAACTAGGCCACATGAGTTGCATAGCATTGTCTAGAAAAAATAGTAGCCAGATTTTTTGCTGGCTTATATATGACTTCGAAAACTGATTGCTATGCTCAATAATGATAAACATATTAGTCTTTGTTTTGACTTTCACATGATCTTCGCTTTAACTTCGATTGATTTTTATTTTTATTTTCGCTTTGACTTTGGCTTTCGCTTTGCTTTCACTTTGAATTTCACTTTGACTTCTTTTTACTTTTCATTTTGACTTTAACTTTCACTTTGACTCTCCTTTTCTTTGACTTTGCTTTAACTTTCATTTTGACTTTCACTATGACTTTCATTTTGACTTTTGTTTTTACTTTAACCTTCTCTTTGATTACTCTGTCAATGATAAATTTTAACCACTCAACACAGCTCTATAAAAAATTGAATGATGAC